GTTTCTGTAAGCAACACCAGAATGTTTCCTTCCTGACTTCCTTACAGGATTAGGCCAGTAATTTCTTCTAACAACCAGTTCTCTGAACTGCTTAGAATGTTAACAACTGGTTCTAGTGAATAGGTGCAAACTGGTAGAATCCCACCCCAGGTTGACTAGCTTGCCAACACTACCTTGCGATATCATCAAATAATTCAGGGCCATTATGTTGTCGATACTGATATGCCCGACATTTTCCAATGGGTACTAAAATCAGTATGGATAAAATTAGCTGTGACCTAAAAACCTAGCTCCAGCTTGGCAGACGCATTAAGACCTCTGGAGTTCACACACTTCAAGCATGGACCTGCAAGATAATATACCAACAGTGCTTTCTTTCTTTCAAATGATTTTTCAAAATCTCTAGGAAACCACAAATGCTGAGGACTACAGGTCATATAATAGAAAAGAGAGATCACACCCCAAAATGCAACCTGCTTCCAGATTACCTGGTAATATTTTGTGGGCCTAACTCATACATAGTCTATGGCAGCCAGCTTTACCCAGAGAGCCAGAGTGCTTTTGGAGATAACCAAGAAGGCTGTTTGTGGCTACTATTATTATATAGTGCAATTATCAGAGTGCCATTTGTTCCTGTCTGTAACTTTCCTGGTCATATTTTCAAAGGTGTTGCCAATATCTGCCAAACCATATCTCAATGCATGATCCTGATGTGATCAGCATTGAAACAGGACTCTGTACAATTTATGAAGAAAATCAAATCCAGCAGTCATCATGAGCTAATGAAACTCTAAGGCACTTACAGGAATATAGATATTTTGGATCAATACATCCGCCTTTTTCCATTCTCTGTTCCATTAGGAAGGAGGTCAATATCACAGTAATGTATCCTACAGTTTGTCCTACTGGGTACTTAGAAAGTCTGCTCTCTTCTATTTTCTTAATAACATTTTGCCATGTGCACAAATAGAGTACCTGTACCTGTCCAAGTGTTATAAACTTCAAGTGTAATGAAGGGCTCCCATGATTCCCAGAGACTGGTAAATCTATCTCAAAAGTCCTGGGCATTTGATTACTGCAGGATTGTCAACAACATGTGATAAGGACTGTTCCATTTTGTTTTAAATTCATTTTCTGTTGGTACATCTTAAATACCCAATCTTGAACCACAATTTCAGATTCTTTGCCCCTTCTCCTTTCTGTCACGGGGAATCCAATATATACTCTCTTAGGAGCATAGGTCATAGTTCTGGATCCCATTTTAGAACATGAGGCTACAATGGGATCCAGGACTATGACCTATGCTCCTAAGAGAGTATATACTGGATCCCCCATAAGGATATCATGAGGGATAAGGCCCAAAATACAGCTAAGATCATTACTGATACTCATCAATGGGAGAAGAGTTCATGAGACATTTTGCATATCTCTAGAACAGCATAGATGAACAAGAGATCAGATGCCATCAATATATTATACTAGTTTTGATATAATCTGTCCACAGATTTGGCACCAAATTAAGCACATACAATTCAAGACAGATTGTTAGTATTACTGTCTTTTCCACAGGCCCAATCATGCAAAACAAGAGCTCTTCACTTGATAGGGACATTTCAGGATGAAGAAACTAGTGAATAACCCAGGTTTTAAACTAGTGTTTATATTTCTCATTGCCTAAATATTTTTTTAGGATGTTAGCATGTTATGTAAATGAATAACCCATATAAATGTGTTTTTAAAAAAGCAAAGCAGTTAAAAAGGGACACAAAATGTAGCAGGTAAAAGTATAACCTACCTAGATGAAGGCATCTCCATCTGGAGAAAGATGGTTACTGATGAATTTATTATGGAAGCTGCCTAATCTCATTGCATGATATCACCTCTGAAAAATATTGCCCTTTGCCTAGTTGAAAAAGGCAGAAAGGGAGAATACAGAGACGCAACTGAATAGTTTGGGAAACTGAATTGGTGTTTGGGGAACAATGTGTACATGAAAGAGAATGGAGTGATCCAGGGCACACTAATTTTCAGGCAGCAGGAAGTAGGGTGAAACAAGAAGTTCAATAACTGCTGCAGGCTCTGTGAAGATTCAGCATTGCATAATAGAAAACAACTGACCCAACTGCCTGAAGAAATAATTATCAAAAAAACAACAGTGTGGTTGGTGGGCTCTACATTTATAACCCCTTAACAGCTGCCTGAATGATTTTATCTGCTTATATAAGGAAGCAGGTACCTAAGTGTTACTTCACCCCAACTTCCAGGCTCTGGGTTCAAACAAGGCTTTCTTCTCTTACTCCAATTCAAGAGGCTTTAGCTGTAACCTAATGTACAAATAATTGATTGCAACTATTGGAAAAAAACCACTGTTTCTACAGGAGCTGCCTAGCCCCAGGCACAGGTCACCGAATAATTTATTCTTTTTAAAAAAATTCCTATTAACTATTTGGAAGGACCATAGATTGAGTCATGATATTCCCTCTCTGTTCTCAACATTCTGTGATGTTGAGGAAATTGCATGGATACCTTCAGAAAGGTTTGGATGGATCTGGAAATAGAAACGATGATCTGTGGAACTACTTCAACTTCCATAAAACATCATCTTGACAAATGCCACATGCTTTGCTGAACTATTACATATGGTAGAAAAACAAAATATTTTAAATGTTGTAAAACTTGTTTTACATTTAAAGAAATACCAGAGGAGAATATTGTAAAAATACAGGTCACGTGCATGCTATTTATTTCTAAACATACATCAATTGATCAATGACATTCAAAATATGTACATTAAATTTGAAAAGTAACTCAGTTTATCACCTATGTGAAATTTAAATTTGGCTGTTTCATTGTTGCTGTCTTGTAATGAGGTAATATGCACATGGCAGTTTTAAAAAGTACCATGAATTTATTTCCAGTGAGTTCTGCGTACTGATTGAGGGTCCATTAAGCCTTTTTGTTAACAACTTTTTTAATTGTTAGAAATCAAAAGAAGTACAAAAGATTTTTTGATATTATTTTTCAAAGATCACAAGCAATCTTGATATCTTATTATTTAGAATACACGGGTAGTACTTGATTTACAACCATTCTTTTACTGACCTTTTGAAGTTAAACAACATTGAAAAAAGTGATTTATGGCTAGTCCCATGGTCATGTGATCAAAATTCAGGTAGTTGACAACTGGCATGTTTATGATGGATGCAGAATCCTGGGCTCATGTGATCACTATTGTGACCTTCCCAGCTGGCTTTTGACAAGCAAAGTCAATGGTCACTTAATGACCATGATTCCCTTAACAACTGCAGCAAAAGGTCATAAAATTGATGTGACTCACTTAACCATTTTTCTTAGTGATGGAAGTTTTGGTCCCAATAATTGTCATAAGTTGAGGACTACCTGTAATCCTGAAATACAGATACTACTATATAGAACAAACTCTGTGAGGCATTACAGGATTGCTTTCAAGTAAGGATAATGTTACTTTTTTAAAAAAAATTATTTGAGGGGAAGACTTTGATGTAGAGCATGGGTGTCAAACTCGCAGTGTCACATTGCCATCACATGAAGTTTCTTGATGTTTTTCTCATTCGGGGAGCTGGAGGAGGGCATGACGCGTCCAGCCCATGGGGCACCAGTTTGATCCCCTGAGCAGAGACATGATTGTAGCAACATTTATTCCTCAAACAGACATCAAACGCTGAAAAATGCATTTAAAAATTAACCTCAGGTAGTTTAAAACAATTTATTTAAGGAATCCTTTGTACCTCAGCCTTGTGCATCTGTCATGGAAGCCAATCATACTACAGAAGATTATGGAGTCAGTCAGGATCCACTTCCTCTCTAACCTGGGAACCGAGTCACTCAACATTTATTTATGATGATGAGTAACGGAGCTGTTTCTTACCATTGCTGATTTGCAAACTACAATTATTAACAAATTGCTTTTGATTTTTTAAAACAGGAATGGTATATAATTTCTAGGAATGAAATCAGCTTCTTTCTTAAATTCCTATAGAGCAGTAGTCACCAACTGGTGGTCCGTGGACCAGTGGTGGTCCATGAGAAAATTTTGGTGGTCCGCAGAAAAATTATTTGCATTTTTAATATTGCACTAAATACTATTTATCTTTTTAAAAAATTCATATTAGTGGTCTGCAGGATTTAAAATTATGAGTTTAGTGGTTCTTGAGGTCCAAAAGGTTGGTGACCGCTATAGAGTTCTAAATTCCTTAGGTCTCAGAATGCCCAGTACAGTTCATCTTTGCAATGAAAAACCACCTTCTCCAGATACACCAATTGAGAAACATGGGAATTGTAATCCAAAATATATGAAGCAAGCCTCCTCTCAAGCAAACATTTTCTGACCGGGAGCTCAGCTGCTTCTACATCTATCTGAATCTGATTGGGTGTAGTAACTCTGCACACTTTATTCCCAATAGAGGCAGCTGGCCAAGTGCAATTTTAGATCCATTTCAACAACCTCCACACAACTGTGAATTTACAGTGAATGATATCTGGTTAACCATTAAGAAAATCCCTGAACTTTAGTACTATTCATCATGGCTTCGTTTGCGGAGTTCATATCAAGGTCACAATAAGGAGAAGTTCCCGGTGCCCGCAAAAGCAAGGCGATCCCTGGACTTCTGAACAACCCCGCACCCCCCAAGATGGCCGACCATCCAGCCCTCTGGACTTTGTAGTTCTAAAATGTGCGAATTGAAGACATGCGAATGAGGGTGGCTAGAACTTCCAGCTCTGGGGGAGGAACCACTTATTTATAAATAAGTTAAATAAGTGAAACATATTCCAGCAACACAGGAGGCAAACCACTTCCCTCCGTCCTTTGAAGGCGCCGCCTCCCGCAAAGGCAACGAGCGGCCTTCCCCTGACCGCTACTTTAGGCCCCGCCCAGCGGCGGCGGCAACCCCCTCCCATTTCCCCTCACGGGGCTTAGCTCCGCCTGCCCACTCCCCCCCCACCCCGCCGCCGCCCGCAACCCTGCTCTCCTCTCCCTCTGTGTCTGCACGTCCGGCTCAGCCCCCGAGACTGGCCGGGGAAGCGAAGCTCGGGGCGAGGATCGGTGCAGAAGAAGCCGAGCGAGGACAAAGGCGGGAGGGGGGCCGCGGCGGCTGCACCCCATTCAAGCGCCCCCGAGATGTTCTCGCGGAGGGGTCATGCGGATGTCAAGAAGTCCGCGCAGAAGGCGCTGGACCCGCGGAAAGAGCCGCTGACTCGCCTCAAGCACCTTCGGGCTTTGATGGGTGAGTGGCGTGGGGCGAGCGCGCAACGGCGGCAGCGCCAGGAGCTCCGAGCCCGGGAGGGGGAGGGGGCCTGGAAGAAAGATAGGTCGGGAGTAGGAGGCGGGCGTCTCAGGTGCAACCGTGTGTCTCCCGCCTCCTGCACCAGCTGGCAGTTACCCTAGTCTAGCTGGGCTGATAGTACTGTAAAGGATACAGGAAGCGCTTTAAACGTTCAGGAGCCTTAGCAATAGCAGCCAAACAATTGTCGCATGAAATTTGCTGCAGGTTCGAAAAAGCTTCATGCCTGAAGCATTGCCTTACAACACACTTCAATGCGCCGCTTATATTCCCTCTCTCGTTCCCCTCCCTGATTTTGGATTGCTGTCCAGCTTCGTGTAAAAACAAAACAAAACCCAGCTCTAGAAGTTGTTATATTGCATCTTAAAAAACAACAACCTATGTTCAGTCCTAAATGGTAAGTTTAGATACAGCAAAATAACCTGATACATTTTTATTTATGCAGTTTAAAATGATCAGATTACAAAGTTAGTGATAGCAAGGTAAAATTTAAAAGCCATACTACAGGATCCTCCATGGTCTCAAACTTCAAACCAGAATTTTCATTTACTTTCTCTGTCCTCTGATGACTGGATATTTACCGGTGTCATAATGGTGCAGGGAATCATTGGAGAATATAGGAAATTGTTTCATGAAGTATGAGGTTATTAGTGATCCCCTCCACACACACATATATTTTTAACAGGGAATATATTGGACAAATAACTTGTGTCTGGAAGTATCAGTACAGAGACTGATATGATGTCCAGTACTTGTAAGCTGAACAAAATGGTTTTCTGCACTAGCATTAATTTTGTTTTGAGGATTTTATCTCATTGTAAACAAATGTTTCTAGTGACTAAAAGCAAAAAAACAGCATTTTCAGCTACCTTATCTGCTTCTAATAATAAAGCAGTGATCTTCCAGGAAGTTAACACAAGGTACTATTAAAGGGGAAGCAAAAAATGTAATACTTTATGCAGTGAGATAACATTCCACCATGGGAGTTATTCATCTCAACACTGAAGTGATACATCTTATTACAATTTAATGTAATGTACATTTTAATTTTAATTTTGACTTTTTAAAATTTGCATTGTGAAAATCCTTTTAAATAGTAAACTAAAATATTTTCAAGGAACAAGCCTCACTGTCTCCTTACTTCTGACTTCACACATGCATTGGAAATGTCATTATCTTATGATGGCCTCATTTCTATATAATCTAGCATCTTGCTCATGTTTATTTTTTAGTATTTAGATTTATTACCATTTCACTCCATTAACTGTTTTGAAGAAAAATAGTACCTAATTAACACTATTAAAACAATATATAGAATATAAATTATAGTAGTAGCGTCAAAAGACCTGAAATAATAAACATATATGTGCTACCCCATCTGAGTTGTAAGGAATGAGGTTGTTTTAACTTTAGGGACAATTGATTTTATAACATGGGCCACATATAGAAGGCCAAATTGCTTGTTGATGTCTATTTGAAGCTTGTAAAATGTATGGGCTTAGCATTGGACAGAGGGCAATTAGGAGATGCTGCATCAAAAAATGCCTGGGGGACTGATGAAAGGAGAAGGCCTGAGGGAATATTCCTCAGAATTCTCTGAAATCTACATGATCTACCCATCCCTGAGATATACTGATTTAGTCTTCATGCCTGCAGAGGGAGGCATGGACAATTCTAAACTTCTCAGATAATGTTAGCCCCTGATAAAAGACAACTTTTCTAGTACTTCTCTATATAAACTATTGCTTTCGGTGTTGAAAACCAGATCAAGTAAATTATCTACTTCTTGGGTAGATGCTAAAATAATCTTAGTAAAGTCCCATGACAATTCTTAAGAGTCTGAATTTCATTTATCAGGAGAATCTTGGAATTAAATGGTTGATGAGTCCCAAGACCAAAAATCTTGGGGTCTCCACTATCATCTTCATTGACTATTCATATAAATTCATTCTGCTAATTGATAAGGGTGACTGATAGACCAAAGGAACCCATCTTCACTTACTATTAAATATATATATATACCCTTGAAAGTTATAAAGTCCTGGAAATTGCCAGGTTGGAATCAAGGGACATCAAATTAATCAATGAGTGAATAAATAATCTTATAATTGTTGACTTCTTAAAGATTTTAAAATAGTATTAACTCTATAAACCTGAAATCATTTTGGGATTAATAATCTCTTCAGAGGGAGTAGATTGATTAAAAGAAGTGATTCATAAAAGCAACATTGTGCTGTTTTTAGTGATCCCCAAAACAATGAAGTATACACTTTTATGAGTTGCCCTATCCTTTTAGTAAAATGCTGGGATTGGTTCATTAAAATGTAAATTGTATTATTTTGGTATAGTAGCAAGAACAGATGTTGTATGTTGCTGACTTTTATTTCCTGAGAGAGCCTTCATCATGTAGTGGTTCAGGTGTTGGACTATGAGTGAGGTGATTCAAGTTCTAGTTTTCCCTGAGGAGTGGAAGCCATCTTGGTGATCTCTGGCCTGTCACTCCTCTTCATCCCTAATCAGTATCGTATTCTGGATGAGAAACAAACTCCTTGTCCTATAAAGTATGCAGATAGATTCACCCTAAGAGCTAAGTGAGTGCAGTGCAAAAACAAGCAGCCACTGCTGTTGGATGAGATAAATGCGAAGAACAACAACCATGCAGTTTTGTCCATATTAAAAGTGGCTGGACTTGTAACTGAACTGTAATTAGTGTTTATTATCTGCTGACTAAGGTGTGGTCAGAGGGGCATGCAAAATATTTCAACCTCTGTTTTTAATTGCTGGTACTTTGACCTTGAAATGGGCTTTTTGAAGCTCATAATTTTATTCAAAGTCTGAAGATTTGAGGTGTTTGAGCTTAAAACATTTAGAATTCAAATTTTATTCTTTATTCCTATTATGTAACCCAGAGATTAATATATGCCAGTGGTGGCTAACCTTTTTTGGCTCCTGTGTCAAAAATTATGTGTGTGTGCCAGCACCCAGAAAGCAATGCACATAGCCCCCCACGACCCCTGTGGATGTGCGTATGACCCCCATGCGCCTCTGCGCATGTGTGCATGACCTCCCCCCACACCATGTGCCTCTGCACACGTATGCGTGATCCCCCACCCGTGTCTCTGCGCATGATCCCCCTGCACACCCTGCGCATCTCTGCGCATGTGCACAAGTCTCCCGTGTACCCCCCACCCCTGTGTATGCGCACCAGATACCCGACAATCAGCTGGCAGGCAGGCACATGCGCAGTGGGGCTCTTCTGGGTGACCTCTCGCATGCCGGCAGAAGTGGCTCTGCGTGCCACTTCTGGCACACGTGCCACAGGTTTGCAATCATGGATATATATCCACATTTCCTTCTAATCCTGAATATTGGAAAACAATATTTTTTTCCTGAAAATAAGATCATGGTTGCTGTTATTAGTGGTATTATTTTTAATTTGTACTGAAAGTGGCATCTGTACCAATTCATTATATACTAGTGGGAAAGAAGCTATGGATAAATTCTACCTTGATAAAGGCAATTATTGTACAGTATTACATTTCAGTTATTGGTGGTGTAATTTTATCTACCTTTGAGAAAACATACAATTCAGAAAATAATGAACCAATAAGAAAAACAAACCTTAGATTAAGTACTGTAAAAATTTGAATAGTAAAAGAATTGAAAATAATACAGTAGTTGTCACCAAAAAGGTTTTGATTGTCCTTCCTTTTGAGTTATCATAAAAAATTCTTATTTGTCTGATGATAACTTTTTCAGATTTTTGAAAAAGAAATTATAGTAAATAATTTTTACAAGAGGGGGCGGGGGGAGAGAGAGAGAGAAGGGTGTGTGTGTATTTGACATCTGAGAGGATCAGCAAATCTTGTGAGATTTTTGTATGTTTTCACCCGAACTTTATGAGACTGGTTGGCCCTCTTTATTCCATTCATTTTTAGTTACTGTGAATTGAGAGGAAGTACTATCTACTTCCTTTTTCGTTAGTAGTCATGAATTATTCAGACAAATGGAATTGTGTAAAAATGCAGAATCTTATTAGCAAGGTCAAGATGAACTTCCTTTCCTTTCAGTATTACTTCTGCCTTGATATACTTTCATGTCCTTAGAGGCTCTCCATTACATAGATTGATTAATAAAATGTGCATTTTGCTTTTATGGAGCACTGTTCCTATAATTTGCAGCAATTTCCTATTCATTCTGCTTGCTCTTTAAATTATGTTTATGATAATAGAAGACCTGAGTTGTTACTAATCACAATTCTTTATTGCATCCTCCACAGCAGTTCCATAAAAAAAGTACACAATTTGTTAACAAATTGCAAAGTTTAACATGATAGAAGGGAAAGATATACATGACTAGATGTTTATTTATTTATATTTAAAAAATTAAACCACACAATAGCTGAAGTTATTTTCCCTCTTTTAACAGCAGTTTCTGACCATTCAGAGGACTTTTGTGCTGATTTACTTTGCACAGACAAATCGTTTTATTTAACATAGAATGTTGCAAGGTTTTGTTACCCAGTTTTAAGGCAAGAGATACACAGTGAAAAATAAGGCTGAAAAATAAGTGGAAAAATAAGGCTGAATATTGAATATACTTCTAAGTTCTGCTTGTATTTTTTGTTTCTATTTGTTGTCAAAGAATTCAATAAATTGGAATTAGAATTGGAATCATGGCTTGTAAAAGTAGAAAGCTGGTTCAGACAAGGAAAGGAATGAAGGAGGTGAGACTGAAATTATCCCTGCAAGTAATTGTGAAAGAATAGATCAGGCATGGCAATGATGTCTTGAGCTACACTGAGTGCCTCAGTTTTCTCCTTAAGTGTCCTGTTCTTGCAGCTAGGTCAGTTGATTTAAAAACTGAAAAAGAGACATTGTTTTTTCTTTTAACTCTTCTGTTAAGGTCATGGTTAATTTGATCTCTTCTAAACTCAGATAGTGGTCACTTGGCATGGTTCCAGGACTCTCTTCATCCCAGTTGCTTGGAATGGAATGGAATGGAACGGAACAGAACGGAACAGAACAGAACAGAACAGAACAGAACAGAACAGAACAGAATAGAATAGAATAGAATAGAATAGAATAGAATTCTTTATTGGCCAAGTATGATTGGACACACAAGGAATTTGTCTTGGTGTAAATACTCTCAGTATACATAAAGAAAAGATACATTTGTTAAGAATCAAGAATCATAACGTACAACACTTAATGATAGTCATAGGGTACAATCTACAATCAAATCATACTAGGAAATAGTCAATATAAATCGTAAGGATACAAGCAACAAAGTTACAGTCCTACAATCACAAGTGGGAGGGGATGGGTGATAAGGAGTGATGAGAAGATTAACAGTAATAATAGTGTATACTTTGTAAATAGTTGAACAGTGTTGAGGGAATTATTTGTTTAGCAGAGTGATGGCTTTCGGGGAAAAACTGTTCTTGCATCTAGTTGTTCTGGTGTGCAGTGCTCTATAGTGTTGTTTTTAGGGAAATAGTTGAAACAGTTTATGTCCGGGATGTGAGGGGTCTGTAAATATTTTCACAGCCCTCTTTTTGACTCGTGCAGTATACAGGTCATCTATTGAAGGCAGGTGGGTAGTTGTTTTTTCTGCAGTTCTAATTATCCTCTGAAGTCTGTGTCTGTCCTGTTGGGTTGCAGAACCAAACCAGACAGTTATAGAGGTGCAGATGATAGACTCAATAATTCCTCTGTAGAACTGTATCAGCAGCTCCTTGGGCAGTTTGAGCTTTCTGAGTTGGCGCAGAAAGAACATTCTTTGTTGTGCTTTTTTGATGATGTTTTTGATGTTAGGTGTCCATTTTAGGTCATGTGATATAGTAGAACCTAGAAATTTGAAGGTCTCTACTGTTGATACTGTGTTGTCTAGTATTGTAAGAGGTGGTAGTATGGGAGGGTTTCTTCTAAAGTCTACCACCATTTCTACGGTTTTGAGTGTGTTCAGTTCCAGATTGTTCCGGTTACACCACGAGGCAAGTTGTATAACCTCCTGTCTATATGCAGATTCATCGTTGTCTCGAATGAGAGCAATCACTGTTATGTCATCAGTAAACTTCGTATTTTAACAGATGGATCATTTGAAATGCAGTCATTGGTATATAGGGAGAAGAGAAGTGGAGATAGCAAACATGCTTGGGGCCCCCCTGTATTGGATGTGATTCCGCCTAGCTTCACCTGCTGCTTCCTGTCTGTTAGAAAGCTTATGATCCACTTACAAGTGTGTTCAGGTACCGCTAGTTGGTTTAATTTACTTAGAAGAGTGTCTGGAATGATGGTATTGAATGCTGAACTGAAGTCTACAAAGAGGACCCTTGCGTAGGTATTTGGAGATTCAAGGTGTTGTAGGATGAAATGCAGAGCCATGTTAACAGCATTATCTGTCGATCTATTTGCTCAGTATGCAAACTGCATGGGATCTAACAGCAGATCCGTGATGGTTTTCAGGTGAGACAGCACAAGCCTTTCAAAGATTTTCATAAGTACAGATGTTAGAGCAACTGGTCTGTAGTCATTCAGTTCCTTGATGGAGGGCTTCTTTGGCACTGGGATGATGGTAGAACGTTTGAAGCAGGAAGGAACATCTCTAGTGATCTATTGAAGATTCAGGTGAAGATGGGGGCCAATTGGTCAGCACAGACTTTTAAGCAAGAAGGAGTTATCTTGTCTGGCCCTGGTGCTTTTCCTGGCTTCTGTCTGTGTAATAGATCTTGCTCTTCTTTTTCTGTGATCACCAGAGGTTATGATTGGGGTGAGTTATAGGAGGCTTGGCTGTTGTTGGTGTGTTTGAGAAGTGAGTTGTGGAGATAGGAAGTATGAGTTTATTTTTTCCCTTTTTTCTGTTGATAGAAGTGTGTGGAAGAATATGAAAGTTACCAATAGAATAGGTGGAACTTTGAAGAAGCTGTACACATTTGTAGAGCTACATTAGGCATGACTCAGATCATTGAATAAACTGCATTCACTGAAAATTTTGTTCAATGCCTCATTCACCAGACCATTATGGAGCTGAAATACCAAGGCATACTGTGAATACAAGGAATTAACTTGTGAAACAATATAAGAATGAATTAAATCCATCATAAAATGAAATTTAAGATACCTTATTTTTAATTGTGATCCCAAACTTCGTAGCATGGGCAGAAATTTCAAGTATTTTAAATTTTTATCTTAAAATGGAAATTACTTATAAATGTAGAAGTACCTAGACAATTCCAAAATTCCATACTGTCCTTTAATGCTTGTGTCACATAGTTGTGTTTGCAGCATTTTCTTCCTGCAACATTATTTTGTTTATGCTTTTTAATAATATTTTATGTATCCTTATAACTTTCAACATACAGTAACTTTTTGTTTTAATTTTCTTGTACAGATGCTATGGATGGAAGTGAACTCAAACAATTCTTTGAGATCAATTATTCTCAAATTTATCTTATCTTCTATGAAAGTTTTGTAACACTGGAAACCAGTTTGAAACAAAAAGGTAAGTATATTGTCTTTTAAGATGCTTAATACTACCTTATTTTTGGAATTATATAAATCTCTGTATATTTCAAATAACTTTGAATTAATTAATCAGCAGACCATTAGAAATTACAAATGTCTATCTAACTTTCAAAAAATTGTGTTTGTTTACAAGTGTTTTAACTATTTATTAAATTTCTATCCTGCCTTTCTACCCATATAATGCTCAAGGGAGCTTACAGCAATAAAATATGTTTTTAATAATTAAAACAATTAAAATTATAAAAATTAAAAATCAATATCATTAAAATCAATTTTACTTAACAATTAAAAGCTTGGTGAAATTTCTACCATTTTTCTAAGAACTGGTAGTGTAGAGCCAGGCACATCTCTCTGAATAATGCATTTTATTATCTGGACTCCATGCAAGTGAAGCTCTTGTCTAAATTAGTAATCTTCTGGCAATAGGAGCATATTTAAAATAGCTTCTCCTGCTGATCCAAGTAATGGGCATGTTCATAGTAGGTTAATATGCTCAATCAATCTAGTTTAAGGAAAGCTTGTTTTTTTTAATATAGTAAGGAATTACTGTGTACAACCTGTTTCAGCATGAACATATGATTAACCACATAACATTAATGTGTTGTTTTGGGAGAAGCTATCTTTAAACTTTAGTGGAATTAGATATTTGGTGCTTATATTAATAAGCATCATCTTATTGATTGCCAGACACAGTTCTTGAAGTATATCAAAGCTATCTCAGAAATAAGTGAAGATCTTAGATATACAGTATTTTGTGTTTAAATCATGATTTGGGCTGGGGGGTTTTCTTCCGCTTCATTAAAACAAACTAAAATAAAATTAGTAAAGAATAGTATTTATGCGATGAACGTCTCTCTATCAAAACTTGAACAGTCAATATATCAGTGTCAGTATCGGGTTGCAGGATACTTCCAGTGTTTGAAATACCCGTCTGTTGTTTTGTTTTACAATTTTCTGTCGTTTTCCAGAAATATGTAATTTTATAACTCTATAACCACCATTGCTGACTCTAATTTCATATCAAATTCTAGGCAACAAGAATATAGGATGCCTTTTATTAAATTTGTCAATTTTATCCTTGAAGCTTTTTCTCTGTTCTTTTATTGTGTATGGCTAAATGCTTCTTATTGGAGATTTACTACGGTATATTTACTTCACTAACAGCTAAATTAAAATGTTTAATTTAATCATTTAGACCTTAATTTAATCCTTTCTCACGTTTAAAACTGCTGAGGAAAGGTAGAAACTAGGATATACCCTTTTCAGGCTTAGTCATCTCAAGAATGAAAACATAAATATAATAAGCAATTTAAAGGAACATTTAAAAACAAAACAAAAAGAACAAATATAAGTTGCTACTAGTCACCATGGCTAAATTTTGGAAAAATGAGTAGAGTGGAGTTTGTTAACTATTGTACCATATGCTTCCTGTACATATAATTAATCATCCTCTTATAGACACCAGTTAGCCTTTGTTCAATATTGTGTCAGAATGGATTTTCTAAATAATTATCAGAAGATTATGATGATTGCCCCAAGATGAATAGAACATCCAAGCCATTATCAGTCTGGAAGTGAAGCCTCTGTTGGTCTAAAATGTCGACCTATATGGTGGACTGACATTTGAAATGAGACACAGGGAAATGTCTCTGAGAAAATGCCAGCCCACCATAAATGGTGACCCCGACGTGATAGCTTGGAAGGCTATACGTTTCCCGCATCCTATACTCATCGTCGCGGACGTCGACTGGGCCCTCATCTTCTTCGCTGGACGAAGATAGATTCTTTTCGTGAGTATGGGGGGAGATCTCTCGAAGGCTCAGAAAGAGCACATCAGGGAATTGAGAGGGATCATTGGGAATAGTTTTGGGTTTGGAATTGGCAGTAGGGGTTGTGCTGTAGGAAAGAAAGAAATTGAGGACTTACTACAGTATGTTTGGAAAAATATTAAGTCATATCCGGAGGGAGGTAGTATTAAAGTAGAGTCCTGGAAAAAGATAGGGAAATTTTTGCACGAGGAACCTCGTGCCCCTTCTTCAATTTTGTTAACCTGGAGGGTGATTATGGATGCGTTAGCTACTTATGAACAACCGCTCCTAGCACCCCCCGAAGAAGGTTTGCCGCTTTACCATGCGGTACGTTTGTTGCCGCCGACGGCACCTCCAGATAAATCTGGGGGACTGTCCGGCGCTAGAAATACTTTGTCAGAGGATAAGAGTTTACCTTTAAGGGTTCAGGTGGATGCAGTTACTGCAGCTATTCAAGAAGCAAAGAATAGAGGGGAATTATCAGGAGATGATTTGGTGGAGTTTGGAGTAGAAGTTCAACTTAATCCAGTAGAAATTGTCATGGACGCTGCGTTGAATCCACAGCGGGAGTGGAAGCCTTTACCTCTCAGGATTTTGAGGGAAGTTAAGCAAGCAGCAAAAGAATATGGTGTTAGATCGCCATATACTCAGGCATTGTTAGAAGCAGTTGGTTATGGAAATAAAATGATTCCGGCTGACTGGAAAGCTCTGTTGAATATGATTTTAACTCCAGCTCAATATTTGGTGTTAGATCAGAAATGGAGACAGCTGGCAGTCCAGAGGGGAACAGCAAATGTTACCCCAGATCAGCTTTACGGAGCTGGTAATTTTACAACAGTGGAACAACAGAGAGATGGTATGCCTGAGGAAGGGTTCATTCTTCTCCCACAAATAATTTTTCAAGCCATAGGGTCTCTCCCTGACGGCGAAGGTGGTGAGAAGACCTTTACTAACATCAAACAAGGGAACAATGAACCCTATGAAAATTTCATTAGCAGACTGAAATTGGCTATTGAAAGACAAATTGATAATCAATTCGCCCAGAAAGAGTTGCTTTTTAAGTTAGCAGTAGAACAAGCTAACGCAGATTGCAAAAAGATTTTAAATCCACTTATAGCAAGTGGAGAGCGAGAAATCGCGGATTTGATTAATGCATGTAGAAAGGTAGGGAGTCAGTCTTTTAACATGGAAACTTTAGCTCTGGCTTTACAAACAGGACATGCTCAAAAGGGGAATTGTTTCAATTGTGGGAAGCCTGGACATTTTAAAGCGCAATGTCGGGCTCCTGGAGGAGGTCAAAGTCAGCAGAATAAGAGATCAATGGGACAGGGTGTTCGTCCTAAATCAGTGTGCCCAAAATGTAAGAAAGGATACCATTGGGCAAATCAGTGCAGACTTCATTCTGAGGGAAAAAACTAGGAAGCAGGGATCAGGGCATTCTCCCTACTCTAAAGAGTGAAGTAATGTCCGAAGGGTTGGAGCCACCAGAGAGAGGTACAGCTACTAAAGGTTCAGCAGGAATTGATCTTCCATTAGCCGAGGATTTGGAATTGGGGTTTCCGCATGTGGTTTGTTTGGGGTCAACGGATTTCTATGGACCGTTGCCTCCGGCTTCTGTGGGTCTTCTTCTTCCTAGATCATCGGCTCATAGGCGTCAATTGTTTGTGGTTCCTGGGGTTATTGATTCGAATTATGAGGGTCAGATCAAAATTCAGGTTCACTCACCTGTCCCTCAATCTTTGAAAAAAGGGGATTTTTTTGCACAGCTTATAGTTTTGCCATCTATGTCTTTGGGAGAGTCAGATGGAATTTGTCAGGGTGGATTTGGATCTACGGATAGGGTTGAAGAGTCTAGTGTGTTTTCTATTATGCAAGGTATTAGGCAAAATGACAAACCAAAATTAACTCTTTTGGTTGAAGGCAGAAAGTTTACTGGAGTGCTGGACACTGGAGCAGATGTCTCTGTGATCAGTGAAAGTGAGTGGCCTAGGGAGTGGCCGACAGATCCTACACCGTCTGTTCGAGGAGTCGGAGGACTTCAAGACGCACGGGTTAGTAGGAAGATTCTTAGAGTTAAAACACAGCAGGGAGGAGCTGTTGCATTTGTTCAACCGATTGTTCTGCGCCTTCACGTTAACTTGTGGGGCAGAGATTTGATGCAACAGTTTGATACAAGGGTTGTCATTCATGATGACTGAACACCCACCTGTGGAGTTATTAAAATTACAATTACTCCAACAGGAGCCAGTATGGATAGACCAATGGCCTTTGACTAGTGAGAAATTAGTTCATTTACATGAATTGGTTCAACAACAATTAGAAAAAGGACATATAGTGCCTACCACTAGTCCTTATAATTCTCCAGTTTTTGTTATCAAAAAGAAATCTGGAAAATACAGATTTTTACATGATCTGAGGAGCATAAATTCTATATTAAAGCCAATGGGTCCACTTCAGTGTGGAACGCCTAATCCTAATTTAATACCTGATGGATGGAATATAAGAGTGTTAGATTTGCAAGATGCTTTCTTCTCCATTCCTTTGCACCCTGAAGATGTAGATTTGTTTGCTTTTACTATTTTGAGTATAAATCAGGGGCAGCCCGCTAAGCGATATGCATGGACTGTCCTTCCGCAGGGAATGTTAAATAGTCCTACAATGTGTCAAATGTTTGTGGATTGGGCTTTACAACCTTTTCGGAGTAAATTCCCGGATTGGAAGGTTTATCATTATATGGATGATATTTTGATAGCTGCTAATATTTCTGATGATGCCATGAATTCTGCTGTCATTCTTTTAACTGCTATACTAAAGGAGAAAGGCCTAATAGTTAGTCCTGAAAAATTGCAAAAAGAATATCCTTTTGCCTATTTAGGTCATAAATTATTCCTGAGTCACATTACACCCCTGAAATTGGAATTTGTTCTTCCTAATCCTTTAACCTTAGTGGGTTTACAACAATTTTTGGGTCATATAAATTGGATCAGGCCGTATTTGGGTTTAACTACTCTTCAATTAAGTCCTTTGTTTCAAGCTTTGGCTAGTGCTAAACAAGCATCTGACATAATAACCTTAAATGAAGAACAAAAAGGGATTTTGTCATTGATTGAACAAGTTTTAAGCCATAGATGGACAGATAGATGTTTGCTAGATTGTCCATTATCAGTAATTTTAATCTCAGAACGAAGGGCTACTGCATTGATAGTTCAGGTAAAAGAAAAAACTGCTTTAAGGATTTTGGAATGGATTCATTTGTCTCATACACCATCGAAATCCATAAATTGTATCACAGAACAGCTTGCTGATATTTTTAATCGTGCTCGTCAGCGCTGCAAGGCTATTGCTGGTATGGAACCAGTAACATGTTATGTTCCTTTTGCTTTAGCTACCTGGGAACAGATGATTTGCAATAGTGAGTTTTTGCAGGTTTTGGTACATTCTTGGCCAGGGAAGTTTTCTTGTCATCCTCCAGCCGATCCTAGGCTATCTTTGTATAAATCAGTCAGAATTAATTTAGCAAGTCTTTTTGTAACTCAGCCTATATCAGACGCTCCTACAGTTTTTACTGATGGAGGGAAAGTTTTGGTGCTTGTGTTTGGAAAGATAAATCTGGAATTTGGCATACAAAAGTGACTTCAGAGCAGAAGTCTGCCCAGCAGGCAGAACTTGCTGCTGTAGTTTTGGCTTTTCAAAATGTTCACAATCAGGATTTTAATTTAATAGTGGATTCATTGTATGTGTATAATTTGTTACCCTTTGTAGCAGGTTCTTATTTGTCTCCTGGAATATCACCTGATATTTTAAGATTGCTTTTGCTGTTACAAGGATGTTTGGAGCAACGTGTGAATGTGTGTTTTGTTGCTCACATGCCATGCTCAAGACCATGTTGACTAAATTAAATAAAAAAGGAGGGAAGCTCCTGGGGCTTCCGGCGATTCAAGATCAATTAAATCTAGCTTTATATACTTTAAATTTTTTAAATTTGTCTGGTAACCCCCCTGCGAGCGCGGCCAGCAGGCATTTTTCTTCTCCTTCTACAGATGCGGTGAGACCTCGGGTGTTGGTGCAGTTCCTTCCGGATCCAGCATGGGTTCCTGCTGAGCTGATAACGTGGGGACGTGGTTATGCAGCAGTTGAACATCTTGGTCAAATTCGTTGGGTTCCTGGTCGGTGTGTTCGACCTGATCATTCGCAGGCACCTGTGAAGGAAGTTTCGGAGGAGCAGGATGGCGCATCTGTGGTTCCTGATCCTGCTGATTCTGCCTAATCTGTCCTGGGCTGCTCGGGTGCGGAGAGAGCAGCGACAGCATGTTCAGCGTGCCGGAGATTTGGGCGATGATTTGTGGACAGATAATAATTACATTAAAGATTTGCGCACAACTGCCAAAAACTTGAACATCACCAATTGTTGGTTGTGTATGCACCTTCCTGGGAGAGTGGGAGAAGGACTGACTCTACATGGAGTTCCATTTAATCGGTCTACTTTGCAGACCGGAAAGCATAACATTTCATATGCCATGAACTTCACGGTCAAGGTGAAGACTGCACTGCAGTCTCCAGCACATTTATGTTTCCAAAACATTACAAACTCGCAATTCTTGGGGAATCATAGTGTCTGCAATTACACTATTAAATGGACAAATGGTTCAGAGAACAACATAACTTGGGTAAATGGGAAAAATGAGTCTGACGCATTTGGCCAGTATCAATATCTAGACATGAAACAGCTGATGCAAGCGGCAAGTCAACAAGGTTATGTACAGCTGGAAGGGTTTTGGTTTTTATGCGGACTGTGGGCATATCGACAAATCCCTGCAAATTGGTCAGGGACATGTACTTTGGGGTTTGTCATTCCGGTTATCTATAAGTTAGATACATTACCTCCTGATGTTCGGATCCGAAATCGTCGGGAATTGGATTCGGGTCTAACCATGGGAGGTAATCTATGGACACAAATTTCTCGAGGTCTTATCCCGCCTTTGGGAATTGCTATGAACTATAGGGATATTCATATTTTAAATAATTTTACTGTTGCTATGTTTAATGATACTATAAAGAATATTAAGATGATTAATGTAGAAATGTCTGAAATTCGTACAGTTACTTTGCAAAATCGATATGCTTTAGATATTATGTTAGCTGCTCAAGGAGGAGTTTGTGCTTTAATTCATTCACATTGTTGTGTTTTTATACATAATTATGAGCCAAACATTACAAAGACTGTTCAGGACATGGAAGATCGTATTGCTCAGCATCAATCTGGAGCCGATGGGTTTAATGCATCATTCTGGGACAGTCTGTGGTCCTGGCTTCCTGATGGATCATGGTTTCGCTCCTTATTGCAAGGGGTTGTTATTATTATTGCTATATGTATCTTATTATGTTGTTTTATTCAATGTATTCCTAATCTATTACAAATGTGTACCTCAGTCTTCCGGCGTGTGGGATCAGGTCATGAGGGAACTGTGTACTATGCCACTAAAACACCCCCTATCTTTGAATAAATAAAAAAGGAGGGAATGTGGTAATATATTTTATTAATCATTTTATCATTTTCTGTAAGGCCTTTGAATACTAGCAGTAAGTCTAGGGAGATGTGGGCATTCTTGGTGGGGGTAGGAGTATCTTTGCTCAGAGTGTTCTCATCCTGTTTTGATTCTGCAAGTTTAGAAGGAATAGGAAAATGGGTGAAAGTTCAAGGTACACAGTCGTGCTTTCTCATGGGACTTTCCAAACTTTCCCATGAGACTTTCTGTGGCTGTATGATCTCATCCTAGCAAGGTAACATCTGGGACTTTCCAAGATTGTGTGTTCTCATGCTGGTGAAGTAATCTCCTGTTGAGGTCATTGTTTTCTGAATATGCATACTGTATTTTGCTTGTGTTTTTTCTCAATAAATACTGCTACCTGAGTTCTCTCAGGGTTGGCATTTTTCTCAGAGACAGTTCCCTGTGTCTCATTTCAAATGTCAATCCACCATAGACCTATACTTTTTTTGTCCACGAGTTATGAGCAAGCTAGAGTAGTATTTAAACTACAAATCTTGGGTGTAGAGTGACAAAATGAGTTGGATATAGTCTAAAATGTTAGGAACCTTATTCTGAATTGGAGACCACAGCTAACATGTTATCTCGCCACCCTGGAAGATTGAATGGCTATAGATTTTGGGGCCCTCGAAAAATAGTTCATGGGCTACTTTGGTACTGGACAGGGTTGCATTGCCCCAAACAGACCCAGTGTGCAATCTAGGGACCTCCTAGATTCATGACTCCTGCTCAACGAATAGTTATAAAAGTTGTGGCTAGGAGACCTTTGTACAGTTCTGTTTTATGCACCAGTTGCATCTTTTCCTGGATTGGGAAGCTTTGCTCATGGTCACTCATGCCTGATGACTTCCTGGGTGACCTCCCGGATGTACTGTTGTAAGGCACTTTATATGTCCTTGAAAAGTGTTTGGAAGCTTCAGCTTATGCAATGAGATGTGCAGCTATGTGTACCCCTAGAATGGCATATCTATTCCATGAGCTGCATGGGTTGCCAATTTGCATCCAGGTCCAATTCAAAGTGCTGTTTTTGACCTTTAAAGCTCTTCATAGCATCTCTGAAGTATTTCTCTGTCCTGTATCACCTCCTAAAGAATCAAGAGAAGTTTAGGGAAAAAATGTTTATCAGCTTTCTTTACTTTAATCTCATTGAATGTGACAGCCTGCCACCCCGTTTTACTGCTAAACTGCAAAAAAATAAATAAATCATTATTTCAGGTAAATGCAGTACTTCTGTGGAATTATATTATCAATGCTATTATCTTTATGCATAATGAGAAGGAACGTTCTTTTTCTTTGCCCTTCAGGAAATAAATCCCAAAGAGAAGAGTTGGATTCCATTCTTTTTCTTTTCGAAGTAAGTTATCCATTTTCAACATATACTGGGCATTATAATTATATGGTTCTTTATGATAATAAACAGATACTTTGTTTACAAGCACTATGGTATGATCCTAAGTAGTGGAGGTGGGGTTCCTTTTAATTGTTGAAATAAATGATAAAAATATGCCAATATAATTAGATCAGCCTGCTATTAGACAATATGTGTAAGGCAAAGAGGGAAAGCAGACAAATGTTTGGAAGCAGACAACTTACTATTTTAAGAACATAGATTTCCATTTTGCAGATTCTAGTCAGAACATTTATGAAGTTGTCAACCAGCTCTGTGGGCAGTTCTAGATACCTTTTAAAGTAGATACCTAGATGGTCAAAATATGAGCCAGTAACATGAATAATGACATGATCAAATGGAAGAAGTTAAGTGGAAATTCTTCCCTCTAATTAACCAGGACAAGATTGATTGGTTCATTAATTAGAAGTTGCGTCTGAATCTGACCAAGAAAATAGATCTGACAAATTAGTCAATTGGCTGCCTTTGTAAAAATGTTGCCAACACACAAATGTGAATAATAAATATTGCCTCATTTTAAAAAAAGGGAATCACTAGATCTAAGAAGCTGCTTTATGTAAATTTAAAACAACAAATTTTCTTAACTTCTCTAGAGAATACTACAATTATTACCTGAGAGAATTTTCTATCGATGGCATTTTCATAGCATAGGTAAGTATATTTTTAAGTCCAGATTGATATGATTCCATATTTTATGTTGTAGTGCAGTTAAGGTAAAAAAAATGTCCCTTAATGGGAAACAACAAATTGGATTGGCATGTGATATTTTATGCTTTGCACTACAATACTTGCATATTTGATTGCTTTTTCATATGCTAAAATGTCGAATGGAAGATATTGAGGTAATCTTTATAATCTCTTATCTTTATCTCTTTAATTTGCTATTTGAACAATTGGTTTGCTATAGTAGAGAAATCAATGGTAGTTCAGGTATCATTGCATCTGAATTGTTAAACTGTTACATGATGATAACATGCATTATCTATACCAAAATTTATTGTTTTTAATCAACAGTTTGGAAATGTATTTGTTGTTGAAATGGTTGCCCAGTTAACTGGAATGAATTCTATAGAATCCCAATAGGTTCTAATATCTGTATGGAAAACCCTATAAGGTATCTTTTTAAAATCACAAATGAGTAATAAATTTATGAGAATAGATAACTAAATGTGCAATGCTTCAAGATCAGTGTGTAGAGGTAGTTATTTTAACTTACTTACAGTATTTATTTATTTAGTTCAATTTATATAGCCATCAACAATTAACTGTGTCACAGGCTCACTTAACACCTTACCCTTCGAAAAACAGCCAAAAGACAGCAGGAATGCAGTCAATCTAACCTTGCGGGAATAGTGTTCCAAATGGCAAGTGCAATGACATAAAAGACATGTTTCTTGGATCCCACTAGATGACCCTCTTTAATAGATGGGACCTCAAACTAGATAATCAGAGGAAGACAGTGCCCCAGATATCCTGGCCTTATAGCATACAGGACGTTGTTGAATTACTTCAAATGAAAGTTATTTTAAACAGTTTGATAAAATATTAAGAACTGTTTATAGCAAGGACAATCCTTAGATTTTTTTAAAAAACTCTAAACTATTGTTTATCTTACAAAGGTAAGAAATTTAATTTTAGCTATAATTCTATTCTATTTCCTGCATTAAGGGCTGCATGACATATTTGGAAAGTTTGAACAAAGTAACATTTTCAGCCATATGCATGTGAAAAAAAATTATTATATAGTAGTTATAGTAGTTTTTGGGCACTAAAGGCATTACTATTTTAGTTCTTCTTGAATTTACATTTATTTTTATCAACCATGACGAGCTGATCTTTAATTTGAAAATTTCCTAATCCATTTTTCTTTATTTTAGGGTCAATTTTGAAGAAACTTCTGCACACTGGAAACTGCCTTAAGGTATTTTAGTGCTTGCTTTAAATCCTGCATTTCTCTAAGAACATATTCATAACTTTGTTTATTAGAAGAAAATGATTTGTTAGATACAAGGCAATATGCAATATCCTGTTTTCACATATTTCACTGCTTTTTGGTCCTAGTTGTGCCATTTTGATTGTCATAACTGGTTGTATTTCTTTGCAGCAGCAATCGCCATATGGGGGGAGGAAGCTCAAAAACATTGCAAGATGGCAGTCGCAGCAGTATGATTGGAGCACATGTACCCCATTTGTGTGTGTATGAATGCTGTACGAAGTGTAACTGCCATCTTCCTGTTTTGTCATATATACAGGGTGGCTGCTGCTACTCCTACTGTTTAGTAGCAATAAGATTAGTGATTTATGGCCCCTATTTTGGGGGTGGGGCGGCTAGTCTGATAATTTAGTTTTTGCCAACAATACTTGAACCATCTTCTTCAAGCCAAATATATTTCTATAAATACTTACGTATGGAACTATGACTACTTGTGATGTGTTAAGCTATGGAAATTCAGATTTCCATAGCTTAAAATATGTTCAAAATCTATTCAGAACATTTCCCTTGTTACTGGATGGAATTGTACATTTGGTCAACAGTATTTATTTTCAAACTGATCTATTCATAAGACTATTAAGTTGTGTTCTTGATTTATAATGGGCTAAATGGTATAATTAAAATATACAGCATCATAAACAACATTTTCTTGTCATTTTCCAACTAGGAATATTTTCATATTATTTCTCCCTGTGAGTCCCTCTTTAATGAGAAAATATGGTTACAATCTGATTAAAAGTTTAAATTGTCCAATTTGATTTCCAGAAGAATTTGAACAATGTACTATCTCCCAGACATTCCTCTCTCCTACCCCTTTTATTATAAACCTTGCCTCATTTTCTTTCTGAGCTTCCTCTTTATCCACTAATTCTTTATCACCTTTGCTCCTCCCTGTTTTGAGTGACCAGTTTATTTCTGGATAATGGCTGTCACAGGGAAGAGGGGGTTGATTTATTCTCTAAAGCACCTGAGGACAGGACAAGAAGCAATGGATGGAAATTCATGAAAGGAAGTTCCAACCTGGAACTAAGGAGAAATTTCCTCACAGTGAGAGCAATTAGTCAGTGGATTAGCTTGCGTCTCAGAATCATAAGTGCTCCATTGCTGGAGGTTTCCAAAAAAAGTTTGGATAACCATTAGGTCAGGATGGAATAAGGATTCCTATCTTGGGCAGTAGGTTGGACTAAAAGATCTCTACTAGATAAAGACACTTGGCTTCACTCAGAGTTGGATTCTGGTTGGATATGTTCTTTGCAGGAAGAGTTGGTTCACCTGCCTTGAAACTGAGAGTAGTTTGCCATCTTCTCAACTTGGACAGTGTTGTGTTCAATCTCCAGTCTTCCCTTTTTAGAAAAGGTGGTTGAGAATGATAGACACTCAGCTTCAAAGGCCTTTCACGAAGCAAATTATCTGGACTCTTTTCAGTCAACTTCAGATTGAGTGATAGAACTGAGACAACATTAGTTGCCCTTGTGAATAATCTCTGGGAGCTGCCCTGATTCTCCTGGATCTCTTGGTGGTTTTTAGTACCATCAACCATGGTATTCTTCAGAATGGTTTTAAGACTTAAGAGTTGAGAACACTATTTTGTGATTGTTTACCTCCTTCCTGAGTGATCAGTTGCAATGGTGTTTTTGAAGAATGGGTTTAACTTTTGCCCCTATACTGTAGTGCTGTGATGGTGAACCTATGCCACGTGTGCCGGAAGTGGCATGCAGAGCCATCTCTCTGGGCACACCAGTCGTAACCCTTGCTCTTGTGGGTTCCAGCGCTTTCATGAGCACCGGCCAGCTGGTCTTCGCGAGCACGTGAGCGCCAGAAACCAGAAGAGCAGCTCCCTGGCGCACATGCGCATGCTGGCCAGTGGTCTGTGCGCACGCATGCGCATCAGGAAACGGAAGACCAGGTGTCTGGCAAGCTTGCACACGCTGGGAAGATAAGCTTCCCGTTTCCGGCACTCCTGCACGTGTGTGTTGGGGAGCTGCTCTTCCAGTTTCTGGTGCGCGCACACTCCTATTTCAGCACTCAGTGCTGAAAAGGTTAGCCACCACTGCTGTAGTGGATGGATGGGTAGGTGGGTGGGTAGTTGGAAGGATGGATGGATTCATATAGCATAGACAGATAAGTTCAGATATATAGATAGATCCCTTCTTGCTCCTGTAAAGTCATAGTCCCAATTTTATGGTTGCTGATTGTCCGATGATTTTTTGTGCATTTCTGATAAAGCTGAATATATAGAGATTTGCAGTTTGTTCTTGTTTGTATGCTGATAAAAACTACACCTGAATTGCTTGTTAAAAGGAATTGGTAAGCCGTAACATTAGTCAAACCATATTTGGGGAGCTAGTATGCTTTGTAAATATAGAAACAGACTTGCCCTTCAGTTTCACCCATTAAAATGCCTCATTCATATGCGGTAAAAAACCCCACCTTTATTTCCCTTCCTGAAAGTTAGGTTGCATCAGAAAAGGCATTTAGAAGAGGCAATTGGCTGATAGTCCAATTGAATATGAGTAGGCATCATTCAGCAAAGAAATATAACCCGTGAACTTCCTGGTGGAATTGAGCCAAGAGAAAAAACTAATTTTGAGCTTCTTATTGTAATGCAATCCATAAGAAGGATAACAAAATATGTGTTAAGTTGATATACTTGAAAGAAAATTTGATTAGGTGCAGAAGTAAAGAGCTTAGGAAAATCACTGTTTAAATCTTGCGAGGAAAAAAGAATCACAGTACCCAGAAACAAAAGACATAACATTTGGAAAGAAATTGGCAATCTGTTAAGAGCAGATGGGACAAATTCAAAACTACCTCTGCAGAATAGCCTTATATGTGTAGAGAATGAGCAACCTCTAGTGGCTCTTCTAGAGAAATGTTTACTACAGTAAAAGCTGAAAGATTAAGCTGTATTTGTACAGCCTGGAATCCAAATAAGATTCCAATGTTATTCTAAACTAAATCCAGGACTTTATTTTCCTATAGCCATTGTCTGTTATTTATTATCTTTATTTTCATCTTCACTTTATATAATCTCTATAGTTTTCTTTTTTGAATTTTTAATTTTGAAATAGTAATTTTATGAATACAATCAGTTTTTATAATTATAGTTGTGGGAATCTGGTTTTATATTTCCAATATAAAATTATACTATTTAAACTTTATACGGTGTCACTTTATACGGTGTCATGGAATGTTAAAGATCTGAGATATATATATCCAGTAGGAGGACTTTTTAAAATATATATAACCTGGATATTTTAAAGTTTGAGATAGTTTTTCTGCAAGAAATTCATATTTTTCCTGACAAAATATACAGTATTTACTTGCTAAGGTGAATTGACCACAGATTAATATTGTAACAATTTGAAAATGGACAGAATTATTATAGTAATTAAAATTTTATAAGAGGGAAAATTTTGATATTTGAAATGGTGGTAGTCAGGTTGTTCTTATGAATTTATGGTCCAGTGAGAGATATGCCTATTCTGTATGATTATTTGGTTTTTGTTTGGTTCTGTTTTTTTTTCATTAGTTTACAGATGTTGTATATTAGGGGTGTCAAACTCAACGTCATGGCGGCATCATGTGATGTATTGCAGCTTTTCCCGCCTTCACTAAACCAAGTGTGGGCATGGCCAGTACGTGACACATCCAGGCCATGGGCTGCGAGCTTGACAACCCTGTTCTATATAATTCTAATTGGGAATTCTAATTTGGTATTGGAGCCTTCAGCTGACTGTAATATTTCTAAGAAAAACTGAGTAGAAGCTGAATGTATGTTTATTAAGGAATTTAATTTGGTTTGTATAAGGAGATAAAAACTCAAAAGAAAATACTTGTAAAAACCTACCCTGGCAAATGTTTATACTTAGATTACTATTTTCTTGATCCATAGTTAATACAGCAAGAGTTGTGCTGTGTTCTATACCTTGATCATGAAATGATTATACTATTTATGGTTTTGGTAACAAATGTTAAGCTGGTATAAGTTGGCATTTTCATATGTGACTATTAAAGGATCCACAATATACTAATTAAAAAAATATTTTGCAATTTTTTTCAAATAAATATTTTGGTAAACAAAAGGAAGATTTGGTATTTACTTAAATTTTATATACAGCGTAGAGGTATCTTATATACATACATTGTGTACAAGAAGAAAAACAATCATATCACATTAATTAGGAAATTGTTGACACAGTTGATGGCACATAATAATATAAGAATTGTGTAGTTTTTAAATCTGCTAAACTGACATGATAATTAGCCTTCACATATAGAATTTTTATTAAGATCTGAAGTCTGATTATGAACTGATTTATTTTTCATCATTTTTGTTTTAAAGTGATGGTTTCTAATACATTTTTGTGAATATTTATTTGTGTACTGGTTTTTAAAATATGCTTTCTTTTCAGATAAGATGTGAAGGAATACGATTATTTCTTCTTTGGTTGCAAGCTCTCCAGACTAATTGTGCAGAAGAACAGCTGTTAATTTTTGCTTGTCTTGTGCCTGGTTTTCCTGCAGTGGTATCTTCAAAAGGTCCATGTACACTCGATACCCTCATCAGCCCTCCTTCTAATCTTCCTAATGGTTAGTTATTATATTCTTCTGATTTTTTTCCATTATGTTTCTAGATCGTGAAACTCACTTGCTATACTAATGAAATATTAGTCAATTGACATGAATTGCAGTTTTGAATAATAGTTGTAATGAATGTGTCTATATAGAAAAAAGTTTTAAGCAGTAATTAAAACACTTTTAATTATTCATTTAGGAAATTTGTGTTCCTATCACTTCCTTAAAATAATATTATTATTCTTTTCATTTTGTGGGTGATATAATTAGGGCCTGATGTAATGTTGCAACAAGTTATGTGGACAGAATTACATTCTGCTGACTACCTATTGTCAGCAGTTTGGCAGTTCGAATCTCATCAGGCTCAAGGTTGACTCAGCTTTCCATCCTTCCGAGGTTGATAAAATGAGGCAATATGGTGACTCTGTAAATCGCTTAGAGAGGGCTGTAAACCACTTTAAAGCGATATATAAGTCTAAGTGCTATTGCTATCTGTGTATCTTCCATAGAGTATTGGTGCCTGATTATAGTTGGTCAATTGTGCAATGTTTTTGAATGGGAAATATCATTGTTCAGGATGTGTGATACACCTTTGATTATATGTTTCTGGTTTTGGCTGGGAGCCACAAGTTATTGTGTTCTCTGGTCTTTCTACCAGTCCAATTTTGTTCAACAGGTTGGGCATGTTACAGGTCTTGTCAACCAAGGAATGTAAATTACATAGCAACCAGTATTGTATTTTGTATTGTTTTATTTTTTTTTAAATTATTTGTATGTTTTTATGACGCAGGCAGCTCAGCATCCTTTACTGAGATGGGTGACTACAAAAAATAAATAAATAAACAAGTACTGTTCTGTTCTTTGTGTCTTATAGAATATTACTCTTGGGAACTCTCTTACTTTTTTGTATTTCACTGAATGGTTATTGTAGTTTGAGAAATGTCTGAATTAAACACTTAAGAGATACTAAGCTTGTCAACCACCTTGCCAACCAGTTATGGCCATGACAAAAGACAATGTGTGGAACATACAAAGGTACATAATCCAATGAGTGTAAATTAGTATTATTTTGTGTTGTTGCCAGTGTGTTATACCAGTATGTATGGGCTAGCCCAGAAAAGCAGGTGGAAAAGTAATAGCTTTTTTTTCACAGTTTTTCAAAGCATTTATTTTTAAGTTGAAGTAGGGTACTTTATGCATTTATTCTATGCAGTTCCTTTATAGGCTCTTTGCTGGACAATTGAAGCTGCTGTGCTATTTGTTCCTCATTCCTAATGCTTTAAAAGAGTTGAACAGGGAATGCATTTATTGTAGTGAAATCCTTGAAGGTGTCTGGCTGAAACTTGGCAGGAATTACTGTCTTGTAATTTTCATTCTATTCTTATGCCAAAAAATGAAGCAGCTGCAGTCATTAAAAGGAGGCTTCCCCGTTACATTTTGTGTCCAAGCTTTTAATTGAAATTCAGAATTGCTTAAATTGAATTGATTTGCCTTTCAATCTTAAAGTAGAAAATTGAATCATGCCACCTGCTAAAGTTTGGACTGGACCAGAGCTTGCTAACACATGTCTGTTACATACATAATTTTTGATAGATGAAATGTTCCATGAAAGGTTAGAGTGGATCTTGTTTTCAATATAATTAGAAAAAATAGTTCTTGATATATAGCATAATCAAATGTTTGACTTACCTGTTTATGCCGGTATATTAGTAATGTAGATTTTCCCAAATCAGGATGAAAGTTACGATGAAGAAGAAAGCAGAGAGAGAGCTAAGAGAAGACAAGTCTCCTTTTAAGTATGTGAATGCAAAGGGAAGTGCGAGGGAAAGGGAAGAGATATTGCTTGTTTAGAAGAGTCATGTTGAAGAGTAAGGGCCCTTGCTTCTTCATGCTTGCCATATTTTATTCTTATGCTTTATGTTTTATTGGTATGATTGTAATTTCTTTGTTGTGAGCCACAGAGTTGTTTAGTGTTGGTGGCATACACATGTATAAAATGTTATCATTGTTATTATGGTTGGTTGCACAGTCAGCTAGGTATTTGGACTGGATTTGGCATTTTAATCCACCTACCAAATCCATCCCAAATGACCTGAGATAGGCAGATGTTGTTTGATGGTGTTAAAGGCCATAGGATATATGCTGTTCCAAGTAAAGTTGCCCTTTGCTATTGACTGATGATGCTTTTGTCAGTTGTAGTAGTAGTACTAGTACTAGTACTAGTAATAGTAGTAAATCCACACCAGTCTGAAATCCCAGCTGATGTTAGTCTTCATATGCACTGAATTTGTACCAAGAGCCTTGGATATCATAATGTATGTGTAGATATATACAAATGTAATTTTGTAATCGAAAGATGGAAATTTTGTCAATGCACAGATTTTTCAAGAGTTATCTAAGGCTTTTTGGTACGGCACCCAATATGCCAATAACCATTGAGACCACTGCTGCCAGTCGGAGAAATTGGAGAAATATC